TAAGTGCAGTTTTGCTTGACGAGTTTGTCAAGCTTTGAAACATTGAATTGGGTTTTCTCTGGGTTCATGTGTCCTTTAACGTTTTGTGTGGTGTTCGAGCTTTGAAGAACACATGAATTCAAAGAAAACCGATACTGGAGCCCACAGGTTTTTTTTCAAAAAAAAAAGAAAAAAAAGCAGAACGCAGTTTTTTTTTTTTGGGAGTAAAAACCTAAAATGTTGCTTAATTTATGGTTTGACTGACAGACAATGGAGACGTGCCTAGTCCGACTTACCGAAGAGTCTGGTCTGTGAACGTAGTGGAAAAGTATAATGCCCTCACATTTGTTCCTGTGATTGCGTCACGTCACATGATGGGATCACGAGAATCAGAGTCCACTACGCTTGTGTTCGACACTGCAATGTGCATGCATTATGCATTATGCATACCGCTCGCTTCCAAAACTTGGAAATTTCCAATTACCGGCAACTCTTGTTGTTTCCAAAACCCGTGGATTTTCTCCTTTTCTCGGATGCAGTATTATTCCATAACGTCGTCGTCTCGTTACACCAACCTTGTCTCGGTTTGGTAATTTCACCCCGGAGGAGCCGTTACGCGCCAAGTTTCCCATCAGAAAGCCACGTGTCACTCATTGCGAGTGGCTGAGATTGGGATTTAAATTTTATTTTATAAAACTACAGCTAATTATTCGTTGACGCCTTGACTGGCTTTTCTTCAGGGTCACGAAAATCCGTCCACCGTCAATACTTGTAAACCATTTCACGCGCAACAACAGCAACTCATCTATATAATTACTGCTTTACTGTTACCTTTTACGGTTTTACCTTTGTTCATCTTTTGCATATTGACCACGGTCTGTATGTTAGGTCCACAATATTAGAATTCGGAGGAGTTATAATATGCATTTGACTTTGCCACTAAACTAAAGCCGCACATAATCAAGATATTTTCCAACCCAATTGAACAAGGTCCAAAAGAAAACAGAACAAAGCAAAACAAGATGGTGATATTTTGTCCAAAAACGCAACGTCTTTTACAATTCTAAGTCCCCGGAAAGAAATCAAAAAGACCTTGTTATACTTTGGCTCTGAAATGGGGTAGCCTTCCCACCTCATAAATTTTTTTTTTTCACCCAAAAAAAAAGAGAGATTCGAAATTAAAAATTTGCACTATTATAGGGTTCTTGTCATTGATTGGGTCACTAAATTCCATAGCTAAGTTGCAATTTTAATTGGAAAATAATCAGATTTTTCTAATGCTTTCTAAACTAAACTCAGAAAAATCAGAAACAATTATTATAATACTTGCGCGTCACTCATTCACCTGTATTAAGAATCCACTGCCACCCACTGCCTTCACGGAAAGCCTCTCATGAAAACCGCCCCTGGTATCTTCCTTTCTCTGCCGACCGCTCTATAAAAACCCACCTCCCTTTTCACCACCAAACATCAAAAAACCAAAAAACCCAAAATCCCATTTCTCGCCACACGACATTTTCATCACAAAGTTTTGATTTTTATAGTCTCCATCTTTCTTTTGTTTTGAGTGTGATCAAAGTCACTCGACAATCCATGGACACCAAAATCGGAGCACTTGACGTTTGCAAGCCGGCAAGCAACGAAGTGGGCTGCCTGCCAAACGGCACCGCTATGGCTATTCAGAATTCGGTCCCCTCCACAGTGATCAACTCGTCCGAGGCCACTCTGGGTCGCCACCTTGCTCGCCGACTCGTCCAAATCGGCGTCACTGACGTCTTCACTGTGCCCGGTGACTTTAACTTGACCCTCCTCGACCACCTCATCGCAGAGCCTGGGCTCACCAACATTGGCTGCTGCAACGAGCTCAACGCCGGCTACGCCGCTGATGGCTACGCTCGCTCTCGTGGCGTCGGCGCGTGTGTTGTTACTTTCACTGTGGGGGGGCTCAGTGTTCTCAATGCGATCGCTGGAGCCTACAGTGAGAACTTGCCTCTGATTTGTATAGTTGGAGGACCCAACTCTAATGACTATGGAACCAGCCGGATTCTTCACCACACTATTGGGTTGCCTGATTTTAGCCAAGAGCTTAGGTGCTTTCAGACCGTCACTTGCTATCAGGTCAGTATGAGATCAAAGTTTGGTTTTTTATTTTATTGTTGAACTTTAATTTCATTGATTGTTATTGGGTTTCTAATAGATTTGGTTAAAAGATTCATAGTGAGTTTGATTTGCCCTTATTTTTCAAAGTTCTGATTTTTGGTATGTGGGTTTTTATTAGGCTGTCGTAAATAATCTGGAAGATGCACATGAATCGATCGATACGGCAATTTCAACTGCTTTGAAAGAAAGCAAGCCTGTTTACATCAGCATAAGCTGTAACTTGGCTGGGATTCCCCATCCTACTTTTAGCCGGGAACCAGTTCCATTTTCATTGTCTCCCAGGTAAAGTTTTGGGCTTTTTTAAATTTTCATTTGATGACGTGTTGATTAAAGGTTGTGCTTTTTAATTTTGAAGTGTGGGATTGATTTATTTGTTTTGTTATACAGATTGAGCAATCAGTGGGGCTTAGAGGCTGCAGTTGAGGCAGCTGCAGAGTTCTTGAACAAGGCAGTGAAACCAGTTATGGTAGGTGGGCCTAAACTGCGAGTTGCACATGCTGGTGATGCCTTTGTTGAACTAGCTGATGCCAGTGGTTATGCTCTGGCTGTGATGCCTTCAGCAAAGGGGCTTGTGCCAGAGCACCACCCTCATTTCATTGGGACATATTGGGGCGCCGTGAGCACCGCCTTTTGTGCTGAGATTGTGGAGTCTGCAGATGCATACTTGTTTGCTGGACCAATTTTCAATGACTACAGCTCTGTTGGGTACTCTCTCCTTCTCAAGAAAGAGAAGGCAATCATCGTGCAGCCCGATCGTGTGACAATAGCAAATGGCCCTTCATTTGGTTGTGTTCTCATGAAGGATTTCCTCAGAGCACTAGCAAAGAAGCTCAACCACAACAACACTGCTCATGAGAACTACCGCAGGATCTTTGTTCCTGATGGACACCCTCTAAAGTGTGCACCCAGAGAACCTTTGAGGGTTAATGTTCTGTTTCAACATGTCCAAAAGATGCTGTCAAGTGAAACAGCTGTGATTGCTGAGACAGGGGACTCATGGTTTAACTGCCAGAAACTCAGATTGCCGGCTGGTTGCGGGTAAGCCAAGGATAGAATATGGTCTGTCATGTTCCTTTCTATGTTTTGGTTCATGCTTTTAATTGGAATTTTGAAATTGGCATTGCAGGTACGAGTTCCAAATGCAATATGGATCAATTGGTTGGTCAGTTGGAGCAACTCTTGGGTATGCTCAGGCTGTTCCTGAGCAGCGAGTGCTCGCTTTCATCGGTGATGGGAGCTTTCAGGTACATTTTATTCCTTTTCTCATTTTGATCAAAGCCAAGCATATAAGTACGTAAATCTCCAGAACTCTGTAGTTTACAAATAGGAATCTTATAGAGAGTGGTTGTAGGAAATTGTATTTGAAATGTGAAGCAAAGATTTGCATATTTGCTTTTCTCAGTGTTGAAGAGTTTCTTTGAGCTTCTCCTATTTCAGACACTAAAATCTCACAGAGATTCCATAAATTTCTTACATTTTGTTGTTTAATGCCTAATAGGTGACTGCCCAAGATGTGTCGACAATGATTCGAAATGGGCAGAGGACCATCATCTTCCTGATAAACAATGGTGGATACACCATTGAAGTAGAGATCCATGATGGACCATACAATGTGATCAAGAACTGGAACTACACAGGACTTGTTGATGCCATCCACAATGGAGAGGGCAAGTGCTGGACAACCAAGGTGATTAGTTTGTTAATTCGTTTTCTTAATCTCCTTTAACCTCACTAATTAATGATTTAATCAAAGGGCTTCCTGGATCGTAACACTCCTTGTAATTGAATTTATTACTTTTACAGGTCCGTTATGAAGAGGAGCTGATTGAAGCAATTGAGACTGCAACTGGGGACAAGAAGGATAGCTTGTGCTTCATTGAGGTGATAGTTCACAAGGATGATACCAGCAAAGAGTTGCTTGAGTGGGGGTCTAGGGTTTCTGCTGCCAACAGCCGCCCACCCAACCCTCAGTAAACTCTTTCATGCCATGGCCTTCATTAATGGAGTGTTATTTGTTCTGAAACATTAGAATGTTGCTCTTTCTTGTGGAGGGTTTCTTATGTTTCTCGTTTTTTTTTTTAAATTTTTCCCTTGGTGAACGGTGTCTGTGTTCTACTTGAATTTTTGTTGGGTTCTATGTATATTCCCCTTTGAATCTGAGCATCTTCAGATATTTTAGTTTATGTGGATCCCAAATGAATTGCGCAAAGCAAGGTGTCTTTTTTGACTTGTTTATGATGACAAATCCACGTGTTCAAACAACGTTGTTGATGACAGTAACTATAGTCATATCATTGTCATCATCTGTCAGCATTTTTAGAACTAATCTATTGACCCAAATGTCCTGCAATCAGTCACTGTTGTTTTGTATAATTGCCGCTGGGTTCATTGTTAATTATGCACAGGTGGAGGTTAGGAAGGGACAGAGAGGAGTATGGAAATATATATCCTCGTTTTTCTGTGTTACAAACAATTAGCGTTGACGACACTCGGAATCTTATTGTAGGTGTGTGTATTAAATAAAATCCCATGAGGAACAAGAATGAAAAAAATAAAACGATAAGAGAATCCTATGTTGATAGATTATCAAATCGTGGTACATGTTCTACCAACCATGTTCGAAGGCTTTAAATTATATGATTTCTCCATCTAAATTACTTCGGAGACGACAAAACTCACATGATTAATAGTTCTTACGAAATACTTCAATTATTTATTTGTTTGTTTGATAATCAAAGATATGAGTAATATCTTTTTAATTATAATTTTCAAGATTTTTTGTCTGATATTTCTACGCAGTTTTCGTTGTGCTAAACCGTAAATTTGAGGGTTGAAGCATCAATTCCATTAACCATGCCATCAAAATTGGAATTCCCGCATCTTTTTCTCTTGAGTTCAGCTAATTTAGCTCATTCATTGAGTCAAGTCGACAGCCAAACTAACATGCTGCATGCATGAGAATACCATGGGGCAATTGGAAGTCATATGTAGCCGCTAGCCAAATGTTCCTTGGGCTATGAAAATACACTTTCTCATGGCCCTCCACGGGCAGAGAAATTTGTGAGAACTGAGAATCTTGAAAAACCATACCAAGCATCTCATTGCAATACCAGTTTCGCCACTCACAAAGCATCTGTTGTTTATATACAACAAAATTTGGACGAGATACAATGGCTGGTGCCACACCTACGCATCAATTCTGACATTGCATGGCGTGAGCACTAGACGACCCTGTTGGAGCAGGGTGCTTGGAAAAGAGGCTCGACAGTTTGTAACGTGTGATTTTAATCGGGGTATGTTGGGGTGAGCACTTCTACACCGGTGACATCGCAACTCCATGGACAACATGCGGTCCTCATCTTTTAGTATTGCTTTTCCATTACTACTCACTTCCTCCATTACATCCACAGAGTCTCGAAAGAAAGCAGTATTAAAGGAGTTCCAATGTTTCTTATTCTTCAAATGTGTTGAATCAAAATCCTGGCTAATAACATGCAGGTGCAGCTGTCGCATTGACGGTTCCTGCAAGAGAAAACATCCAAAAGTACTTATTAGGCAGTCTCGTTTTTCAGCTCCCTAATTGGACCACCAGTTATCTCCATCACTTGGACTTTTTTGTGTTATACATATCTCTTGCTTCCTAATCCACATCAAAAGTATGTTCAAGATAAAGAGATGGGACAAAACGATAGAGGAGAAGACACATTACTAAAAGCACACTACCATGTCACTCACGATTTCCATAAAGAAATTTCTACCCAAACTTAAAGAGTTGCATATCTGATATGGATGCTTATTGTTTCTGTACTATCCAGGATGAGGGAAAGGGTCTTCACAAGACAATGTCAAAGAAAACAAATATAACAACGAGTTCTAAGCAGAGTATCATGCATACCGAGTGATATCCAAGCCGAAAGACCAATGATGAATCATCATGCAATAACTTCTCAGCCCACTTCAAACCAACAGCATGCATTGTCCTTAACAACTGAAGGTGTTCTTTACGTACATCTGCCAGGCAATCAAGACCTTCATATCGTGCCACCACCAGAACATGCCTTTGTGCCTGCAAAATTCCAAAGTTATTTTAATCAGCTAAAAAGTAGAAGAGGATGGTGAAGAATATAATAGGTGACATTTACCCTTGGATAAAGATCATTCAGTACAACAACATCATCGGATATCTCTAGTACAGCATCCCTGTGCTTCTCTGGCTGCATAGCAATGTTGTAGAGAGCCTGAGCCCATGAACCCCAGGATTTAGTCCTGCTTCCATCAGACTTGTTGCTCAGGTTTACTTTACCAGCATTAGAATCAGAGGCATCGTCAGTTTCATCCCGATATCCTTTACTTCTTTTGCTCCTCTCAGATTTATGAAGATCCTTTCTCTTATTCTTTTGATCACTGTTAGTAAAATGATCTTTAGGGATACCGTCAGGGTGATCTTGTGACTCTGTCATCTTTGACTGAAGGTTTTCAATGCTTCCCTTGGGTAACTTCGATTGGGACCTTACAATTGACGAAAAACCTTCAAAAAGTGAAGTGTAAGCCTCCTGGAGAACTTTGCAGCCTTTGATGTAGTCATTGTTCAGACAATTTGGTCTCTGTGGGTTCATGTTGGGTCCAACAACATGTATGACATGGGTTACCCCTTCCCTACAAAACAGTGGAGAAGTTGAAGGGAGAGGCACAACCACAGCATTCCCAGGAAGCAGAGATTTGGCCTGCTCTTTGGTTGCAACCTCCAAAGCTCGACCTCCAGCACTGAAAATTGCAGCATTGACACCTCCACCTCCAGGTTTGAGTCGCCTGCAACATAATATTTTTTGTTCAATGTACTAAATATGCAAACAAATATATAATCCCAGGTTTTGGCATATCCTCCAGTTTATATATATATATACATATACATATACATATATATATATATATATATATATAAAACTATTTCGGTATTCTGAACTATGTACATGCATATTACATACAGTTTTTCTAAAAGCTTACCAATTAGCAGCATTAGCTATTACATTGCAGTGTAAACCCCCTTCTGAATGAAGCCGAGTGATATCTCCTACAAATGTGAAGAACTTGTTGGAATCAATGTTCTTATCTGAAGCTTTAGTCCTAACCAAAGACAAAATCTTTGATTTATGACTCAAGTCCACTAAAACAAGTCTAGCATTTCCAAGCTTATTCACAAACTTTGCGACTTTCTCAACAATAATGTCAGATGCCTTCTCAAGGTCAAATTGAAAGTCTGCTGTTGATATAGAGGGAAATGCCAGAGTAGGAGCATCCTTAAGAGAAACATCGCTGCCAGCTGAGCCGACAACTGGCTCTTCACCTTCCTTTAACTCCCTACCAGCATTCTCAGATAATGAACCTGTTCCTTTCAAACAGGCATCCTTCTCTTCAGTAATTTGAGAAGCATTAGAATCCGGAATACTTTTCCAAATTGATTCAGAACTAGCAGGAGCATCTGTTTTCTTTAAGAACTTCATTATGCCGAGTTGAATTTTGGCACCGGGATTCTTCTGGCCAAAATAACCATTGGGAAGTGTATCCAAAGGACCAAGTCCACTATATGCATCGATGGCAGATTGAACATCACTCTCATTCTGGCAAGAAGTGATTCTAGCAAACCCTTCACTCAGTTTAGGCAGTTCTTTCTTTTGCAGCATTCTATTCACAACCGCAGCAGCTCTCCCACCTTGCAAGTTTCCTTCATGGCCCGTTCGCTTCACAGACCGCGATATACAAAGCTTGGCAGGAAGATCAAGCACCACAGCATGAACATCAACCTGGGGACCACCAAGCTTAACAAACTCATTGCGTTGTTCTATCTCTAGATTGCATCTATCTATAAACACACTCTTCCCATCCTTCAATGCATTAATTGCACTCTCTATACACTGAGCTTTGGTTCCAGCTTTACCACTTTTGATAGTGTCCTACAAAACACAAGAAATCAAAATGTAACGCACAGAAAAAAGAACCCAAATGAACAGCTATCATGCCTATCGCATCAAGTCCTGAAAATAGTAATTTTCGAAACACACTGAGGCATTTCGTCGAACACATTGTAGTCGGAAGACATAAAGAAAGACCTGACAGACGCGAACCCAGGGACGGGTAGAGGAGCGCATGACTTGTTCACAGAAGGTGGACTTGCCGCTTCCAGGTGCGCCCATCAATATTACCACGATTGGCTTTCCGTGTTTTTCTTCGCCTGTTAAACACATGAATTCTGGTAATGTTAAAAAGCGTAGGAAGGTTCTTTGATCTCCAAAGGTAAAACGCAGAGTTTTGGAAAAACCAAAAAGGGCGTACCTTTGGCTGTTTCGTCAATATCCATGTCCATGTTCAGTGAGACTCTGTCACTCTTCGAATCGACGGCTTGAAACCAACGGTCTCTTCTTCTACCGGAAGCTTCTATTACCGGTGGTTGGTTTTTGAGAAATGCGTTGGAAATGTGCATGTGACACTTGGGAGAGAGAGGTGCCCATCGGCCTTGACAGTTCAGCCCATTGAGCTTGTTTCCTTTCAAGCCCAACCCATATTTGGAACAAGCAACGTAGGCAGTCAACCTTGTGGATTTTGGAAAGTTTATTCCACAGCCCAAATTGTTAGCACTGTCTCTCGAGTGCTTTTATAGTGAGTGGAAAGTTATAAGGGGTTTTTTTGAGGGGTATGTAAGAGCCATTGGATTTCATCCAACGGTGAGTTTTTAAAAGAGGGTGCATGTAGAACCGGGTTGAAATCTGACCCGTTTGAAAACTCAACTTCAGCTGAAGATTTTTCCCTCTGTGTGAAAAACTCAAGAACACAATCCTCTTTTTTTTTTTTTTTTTATAATGTAATGCAAATCCACAATTAGAAAGATCCAAAGCTCCCAAACTCTATAATCACTCCATTGTCATCAGCTCCTTGGGAGGCCTGCGATCTATGGTATTCTCGGTATGACGATTAATGACTTTTACCTAGCTATTGCCCTGTTTTGATTCTATGATTCAAGTGAAAACCCCTTCTCTTTTTCGTTTAGCAGAAGAGATTCCAGATGAAAGCAAAGTAGCATATCTCTTTTTTGTGCTGCTGCAGTTGTTCCTCGATTGGTAGAGATGGAGTCTCCACTACGAAAGAATCCTCTCTCATGTCCACCACATTCTCTCAAGCTAACTGACTTCAGAGCTCCCGATTACTTTGAGAGGTAAGTTCACTCTTGCTGGATTGATTTTGTTGAGTTTGATTTGTTTTTTGTGAGGGTGAGAAATTTGTCATTTGTGGCATCAATAACGCGTCATTTGTTCTGCTATCAATAATGCGTCATTTCCTTATGAATATTCAATATACTTAGTTGATTATTTTTGTTTGGAGGGGGATTGGAAATTTATGAAATGTAGGTAAAAGATCCTAAACTTAGGCTTAATGGCATTAGAAGTAAGCATTTGGAGAGGATATTGGGTGAAGTTCTGTAATTGCTGGTTTGAATTACATTTGAGTTCTTAGTTGAACATGTTGGTTCTAATGTTATTTTTTCCAGATTATTTCACAAGAGATGACGTAACTATTATTAAATTTTGCTTGTGTTTTGTGTAATCAGAATCCAACAAGCTAGGCTATGCGTGTATTGTGTCAATTTGGGCAATGTTTTGTGTAAGTGGAATGCATTGATAAGTTGTGATGCAGTAATGATTGATTAATGAATTAACATTTGCTATGCAGTAATATAGAAGTAGATCAATAATATACGTGGATAAAATGTTTGGGGGCTCAGAGAGTGATGATTCTGTAACAGCTAATGGGAGAGTTTACATTCCTGAAGTAAGAAATGAGGAAACACCAGCAGTTGGGATGAAGTTCGACTCGCTTGACCTCGTTTATAATTTCTATAATAGACATGCATTCTTGGCTGGCTTTGGTATTCGACTTCATTCCAGCTTTTGAGGGAAAAATAAGAAAGAGATTCTGAGAAAAGGATTTGTATGTTGCAAACAAGGTGCATACCGGAAGGATGAAACTCGGGAGAGAAAAAGACAACGGGGAATAAGTAGATGCAATTGCAAAGCTAAGATTGTGGTTGTGAAGACACATGGGAGCAAGAAGTATATCATCTCTCTTTTTGCAGAGGGACACAATCATAAGATGACACTCTCAGGAAGAATGCATTTACTGAGATCACACCATCGTATTTCAGATTCTACAAAATTACTCACAAAACAGTTGAGTTCGGTTAATATTCCCATTAATCAGAAGGTAAGTATTTTTGAGGTGCAATCCGGAGGAATGGATAAAATCGGTTTTATCAAGAAGGGTATCTACAATCTTGAATGTAGTGTGAATGGGAAGCTGAGGAACCACAATGTTGAACTAGTGACCGAGTATTTTATGGCTGAACAGAAAAAAAATGAGGCTTTTTATTTCAAGATTGAGGGAGATGGCGATAACAGGTTTAGTCGATGTTTTTGGGCAGATGCAACTTCTAGACGGGCGTACGGGTTTTATGGAGATGTTGTTGTATTTGATACCACATTCAACACGAATAGATACGACTTGACATTTGCACCAATGTTGGGAGTTAATAACCATGGTCAAACAATTGTCCTAGCATGCACATTTTTGAGCAAGGAAACGACAGAGTTGTTTATTTGGATGTTTGAGGAGTTTAAGAAAACCATGCCAGGTGGCAACCTAAAACGATCATTACAGATCAAGATGCGGTAATGAGCAGAGCGATTTCAATAGCCTTCCCGACTACATTTCATCGACTTTGCATATGACATATCACATCAAAGTTCTCCGTTAAGTTACCACATTCTGCTTATATGGAGTATTGACGTGAATTCCAGAAAGCCATATGGGATACTGACAATAAGGATGAGTTTGATGCAAAATGAAATATTATGGTTACAAAGACTGGTTTGACTGACCATCCATGGCTAAGTTCAATGTTTGATTTAAGGGAATCTTAGGTTCCAGCCTACGCACGACACTTTTTTGCCGCTGGAATGTCAAGCAGCCAAAGAGCTGAATGTTCTCATGGTTTCTTCAAGCAATACATATCAAGGAAAAATTCGTTGATGGATTTCATAATAAGATTTGAGAGGGCACTTTCTCATCAACGTCAAAAAGAGTTAGTTGCTGATCACGTAGATGCATTTGAAGTGGCTCAATGTATTCTACCGATGCCAATGAACAAACAAATGGCTACCTTGTACACAAGGACAATGTTTCAAAAGTTTGAGCAAGAACTAATACAAAGTACAGCATGTTTCCTAGAGCTGAAAACAGAGGATGCTTCTAAAGTTGTCTTTAATGTGAGCGAAAGGAAAAATTGGGAAACAAGAGTGGCAGAAGTCGTATATGTCAAAGATTCTGACCACGCATCGTGTAGCTGCAAAAGATTTGAATTTGTTGGAATTATTTGCAAGCACATCCTAGCATTGTTCAGAAGGGACCAGATTGAATATATGCCCGATAAATACATTTTGAAGAGGTGAAAATCTGGATTGGTGTCAGATGGAAATGGCAACGAAATTAAAGACTCTGCAGATCCTGGTCTTTTAATAAAGCGGAGTACAATGTCCCGACTTGCTTCAAATGTGGTTGAGGAAGTATTAATGTGTGAAGAAGGATGTGAGCTACTGTCAGAGACTCTAAAAATTTTGCGGGTGAAGTTGAAGTTGTTGAAGGATGAACCAAGTAATAACGAAGTTGGAGGGTCCAGCTCTCAAACACAATATATGAAAGACCCTTAGAGAGTAAGGTGCAATGGAGGGTCGAAACGAGTAACGGAAGCAAAGGAAAAGGCAATGAAGCGAGGGATTAGACACTGTCGGGAGTGTGGACACATTGGTCATGATAGAAGACAATGCCAAAGAAATTTGAACACACCGTAAGATGTTAACACTATTTATAATAAGACCTAAAATTTGAATAGGTAAAGTTCTTATGTGCTTCTGTTTGATGTTTATGCAGGACATCACCGTCGAACAATGACGAATCAACTCCAATAGATCTTAGTGACCCATTATTCGACGAATTTTATAGGATGCACGGTTCAACTCAATGATTTAGGTTTCTATTATACGAAGCCCGGTTATTATGAAGACTAATGATCAGGTGAAGTTTTCTAGATGCAGTTTTATTATTATTATTATTATTTTGTTCATGTCCACCGATGAGCTCTGACTATGTCCATTGATAATTGAAATGAAAATTTGCTTGGTTTCATTCTTGCATGAAATTTGGACACATGTTAATTTTACGTCTTCTCCCTATTTAGAAATTTTCATAGACATTAGATAAAGCATCAAATTTTGATTTATGTGAAGAAGCAATGAATTTTACCTTGTAAAATGGGTGGGTAGTTTTTGGTGAATTATGTTTTAACAGAGATTCATTGATTATATGACAGGCTAATGCAGCATCTCCATCAGCCAGCTGTTGTTTCCATTACCAGTAATGATTTCCAGCAGCACGCATCATTTGTAGCAGCACCCACTTTTTGCGAATGTTATGTTCTAGTGGTTTATTGGTGATTAAGATCTGAGCTGGACTGGTTATTAGGTGCACGATTTTGCAAACATTCGTAGCTGAAGGATACTTGAAGCACTTTGTTGGAACAGAAAGATTAGAAAGCAACGTGTAAAAAAGTACATTGCAGCTAATCACATTTCGAATGGTTGGGTAATATGAAAGGGTACACTAACATTTGAACTACTCATAATTCCACACACAAAAGAAAATTTGATTGCAAAGCATTTTATGTGCTCCCTCTTAGCAATACCACGATC